GACCCCAAGACACTTAAACTCCTCCACTAGGGGCAGTACATCCTCCCCAACCCGGAGAAGACTCTCTACCCTTTTCCAGCTCACAACCATGGCGGAGTCCAACTCTCACAGAGACCAAACAGCCCTTACTAAAGGGCGCGGTACTCCATACTCCCGGAGTACCCCCCACAGGACCTCCCCAGGCGACACGTTCAAATGCCTTATCTAGAGCCACAAAACACATGTATACTGGTTGGGTAAACTCCCATGCACCCTCCAGAATCCTACTAAGGGTGTAGAGCTGATCCAGTGTTTCATGGCCAGGATGAAAACCACACTGCCCCTCCTGAATCCGAGATTCCACTATCCGACGGACCCTCCTTTCCAGAACCACGGAATAGACCTTTCCAGGGAGGCTTAAGAGTGTGATTCTTCTGTAGTTGGAACACACCCAATGTTCCCCTTTTTTAAATAGAGGGACCACCACCCCAGTCTGCCAATCCAGGGGAACTGCCCCTGATGTCCACGCAATGTTGCAGAGCCGTGTTAACCATCACAGCCCCACAACATCCAGAGATCCTAAGGTACTCAGGGTGAATCTCATCCACCCCTGGAGCCTTGCCACCGAGGAGATTTTTAACTACCTCAGTGACCTCAGCATCAGAGATGGGAGAACCCGACCCGGAGCCCCCAGGCTCTGCTTCCTCAATGGAAGACGTGTTGGTAGGATTAAGGAGGTCTTCGCAGTACTCCGCCCACCAACATACAACGTCCAGAGTCGAGGTCAGCAGCACTCCACCCCTACTATAAATAGTGTTGGTACGGCACTGCTTCACCCTCCTGAGAAGCCGGATTGTGGACCCGAATCACTTTGAAGCCGTACAGAAGTCTTTCTCCACGGCCTCTCAAAACTCTTCCCATGCCCGATTTTTTCCCTCAGCGACCAGCCGAGCAAAGCCTGTCAAAGCCTGCTGCGTTGACTGCTGGTACATCAGCTGCTTCCAGAGTCCGATCGGACACCTCATTTAGCTTGACAGCTTCCCTCACTGCTGGTGTCCACTGCTGGGATTAAAAAACCTGTCATATAAATATGCGATTTACAGGGGCGTGCACACATAGACACTAGGTGGTGCTAAAGCACTAGGAAGTTTGTCCTTTATCAAAGAAAATGCCCTTTTGAAACTCGTTTTTTTTATTATTGTTATTATTAATATTATTAAGATTTTACTGAGGTCGGTTTTGAAATGATCTTTTGAAAACCTGAGCCATTAAAAACGACTGAAACAATGCCCCGAAATGAGCCACCTCCTTGCGCACACCCGACCAGCCTCTCTCTCTTCCTTTGTCACGTGAACTCGCTCGGTCGCCCGCAGGGCATGCCAGACGCGCAGCATCATAGCAGTTTTCAGATAGCAGGAACGGTCGCTGACAGGCTGCTTCTCCCGTGCCCCATTAGCCAGGTAATATACAGATCAAGCAGAATCATTTTGTTGGGCATTAAAATGTCTCATTCAGCAGCACCAAACACGCATTTTGCTGACTGGTCACCAGATAAACTAGTTGTCTCCTTGTAAGATGCTATTTTAATTTCGGTAGAGTTTGCAATTGCAAATCTACGGAAGAGGATTAGAGCCACTGAAAATAAATAAATAAATAAATAAAAAATAAATACATTTTATTTCAGTTTAGTATGGGAAAAAAGTCAGAATTCTGACTTTAATCTCAGTATTCTGACTTTTTTCTCAGAATTCTGACTTTTTGCTGAGAATTCTGACTGAATTCTGACAATAAAAAAGTCAGAATTCTGACTTTATGTCAGAATTTTCTTTCAGTGGCCCTAATCCTCTTCTGTACAAATCTATGTGTTAAGACAAACGTTTTCTGTTGTATAGGTTTTGTTAGGCAACATAAATTAACACATTTTGGTCTCTTTATTGTCTTAATTGTATATTGATTTAGTAATTGCAGCACAATGCCAAGAAAGGAGGGTTAATCATATTGAAAAATCTTAAAAGCTGTTCACATTTTATTTTTAAGTGGTTTGTGCAGCAGGTATTAAAATAGCTATTATTTTGTAGGCTACCATAAGTCATATCCACGTGACAAGACTTCCAGTCATGTTGCCCTAATAGCCCATTATTTAAACTAATGTGGCATATTTGTTAAAGCTATAATTATTATTATTATTATTATTATTATTATTATTATTATTATTATTATTATTATTATTATTATTATTATTATTATTATTGTCATGATGGTTATTATTAATATATTGTAGCCAGTCACAGCAGGGAAGCTCAATACCATCAACATCTACCAGGACAGGAGATGAAGAAGAGTTCAGGGAAGACACAGAGACAGAAAAAGACCAGGATGAGGGAGAGCAGATGGGTGAGGGAGAGCAGATGGGTGAGGAAAAACAGGGAGATGAGCCAGATGAAAGAAGTACGCTTTAGTCTGTTCTGTTGGTGATGTGACTTTTTTCCATTGAAAACTCACGTTTAGAGAATGTTACAAATAAAAGTCAAATTTCATTCAACATGCGTTTATTTTTTTTATAATTAAGTGTTCCACGTGCGCTAAAAAGTGCCCCCCCCCCCCCCCCCCCCCTCCTGAGCACCTGCCCCCCAAAATGTCTGTGCACGCCTCTGAAGACCATGGAGAAATATATCAAGGAGTCACTAGCGGCTGGAATAATCTGACCATCTTCTTCTCCATTCTGAGCCGGTTTTTCTTCGTTAGTAAAAAAGACGGCTCTCTGCGACCCTGTATTGATTACCGAGGGTTAAACCAAATAACCATCAAGAACAAATACCCGTTGCCCCTGTTAGCTTCGGCTTTTGAACCGGTTCAGGGTGCCACTGTGTTCACCAAGTTAGACCTGAGAAACAATTACCACCTTCTCAGAATCCGTGAAGGAGATGAATGGAAAACTGCCTTCAAAACACCTCTGGGGCATTCTGAATATCTGGTCATGCCTTTCGGTCTGTCTAACGCCCCCGCTTGTTTCCAGGCACTAGTGAACAATGTTTTGAGAGATTTGTTAAATGTTTTTGTGTTTGTCTACCTAGACGACATCCTGATCTACTCCAGAACCATCTCTGAACAGCGGAAACATGTTCGATTAGTGCTGCAGAGACTTTTGGAGAATAAATTGTTTGTCAAGGCTGAAAAATGCGAGTTTCATTGCCCGTCTGTTACCTTTCTGGGATTTGTGCTCGAGGGCGGGCAGGTGAGGCCATCCCAGGATAAAATCAAGGCGGTTCTGGACTGGCCCACTCCTGAAAACAGGAAACAAAGGTTTCTAGGGTTTGCCAATTTCTACCGAAGGTTCATCAGAAATTACAGTCAAACAGCCCAACCCCTAACAGTTTTAACCTCAGCAAAAATAACTTTTCACTGGCCTTCTGAGGCTGAAGCAGCCTTCAAAAAACTTAAGACTCTGTTTTCCAATGCACCCATCCTCATTCAACCGGACCCCTCCAAACAGTTCATCCTGGAGGTGGATGCATCTGACTCAGGGGTGGGAGCTGTTCTGTCCCAAAGTTCTGAATCTGACCAGAGAACTCATCCGTGTGCATTTTTCTCCCGCAGACTCACCCCTGCTGAACGAAATTACGACGTCAGGGATAGAGAACTCCTCGCCATAAAACTGGCCTTGGAAGAATGGTCTAAGAACATTAAACCTGATGCTCTGTCCCGTCTTCACGCTCCTGATGAACCTGAGACACCAGCTAGTATTTTACCGGCTAGCTGTACTGTCACCACAGTCTCCTGGGAGATTTCGGACCTAATTAAACAAGCACAGACTTCTGATCCTGATCCTGGCAGAGGTCCGCCTAATAAAACATACGTTCCATCTACAGTGAGGTCTAGATTAATCCATTGGATGCATACCACTAAGTTCTCAGCTCATCCTGGAGTCAGTAGAACCGTGGCCCTCATTTCCCGTCGGTTTTGGTGGCCTTCGCTACACAAAGATATTAAGGAGTTTCTTCTAGCCTGTCCAGTTTGTGCCCGGAATAAACCTTCTCATCAGCCTCCCTCTGGTCTCCTTCATCCCCTGCCAATTCCCAAACGCCCTTGGTCACATATCGCCATAGACTTCGTCACTGGGTTACCTGCATTCAAAGGTATGATCACCATTTTCACAGTCATCGATCGATTTTCCAAGGCCTGTCATCTCATTCCGCTGAAAAAACTTCCCACAGCTTTTCAGACAGCTCAACTTCTGGTTAAAGCCTTTTTTAGACTACACGGCATCCCACAGGAGATTCTGTCGGACAGAGGACCACAATTCACTGCCCAGGTATTGAAACATTTTTGTTCTGCCCTTGAAGCTAAAGTCTCTTTAACTTCTGGTTACCACCCCCAGTTGAATGGTCAAACCGAGCGAATGAATCAAGAGCTGGAATCCACTCTCGGATGTTTCAGAACTAACTGGTACAAGCAGCAAAAATGAAGCAGCAGACGCGATTTTGCTGCTTTTGCTGCGTCCGGTGTGAACGTAGCATAACTGCACAAAGATCGCCACTGTGCTAGCAACGAGCATGCTTTTAACTGGGGGGTGTAGCAGTTCTCGCCATAAAGCAAGACTGACTCTCACGAGACTTCTGAGCCTGTGGGTGCGGGTCGGTGCTCCTGCAATTGCAAGTGCGGTATTTCCCCCACAGACGACCAGGGCGGCCGAGAAAACCTTTGTTCAACCTGAAATGACTCATTTAATCATCCAAAACGTTATGGAACACATTAATTAACTGAAAAATGTTGCATAGTGTGCCGTCAGGGACGAGGGCGGTCAGCCATCAGGGATGAGGGCGATCATCCGTCAGGGACCACGCCAATCAGCCGTCAGGGGCGAGGGCGGTCAACCATCAGGGACGAGGGCGATCAGCTGTCAGGGACGAGGGCGATCAGCCGTCAGGGACGAGGGCGATCAGCCGTCAGGGACGAGGGTGATCAGCCGTCAGGGATGAGGGCGATCAGCCGTCAGGGACGAGGGTGATCAGCCGTCAGGGATGAGGGCGATCAGCCGTCAGGGACGAGGGCGATCAGCCGTCAGGGACGACGCCAATCAGCCGTCAGGGACGAGGGCGGTCAGCCGTCAGGGACGAGGGCGATCAGCCGTCAGGGACGACGCCAATCAGCCGTCAGGGACGAGGGCGGTCAGCCGTCAGGGACGAGGGCGATCAGCCGTCAGGGACGAGGGTGATCAGCCGTCAGGGATGAGGGCGATCAGCCGTCAGGGACGAGGGCGATCAGCCGTCAGGGACGAGGGTGATCAGCCGTCAGGGATGAGGGCGATCAGCCGTCAGGGACGAGGGTGATCAGCCGTCAGGGATGAGGGCGATCAGCCGTCAGGGACGAGGGCGATCAGCCGTCAGGGACGAGGGTGATCAGCCGTCAGGGATGAGGGCGATCAGCCGTCAGGGACGACGCCAATCAGCCGTCAGGGACGAGGGCGGTCAGCCGTCAGGGACGAGGGCGATCAGCCGTCAGGGACGAGGGTGATCAGCCGTCAGGGAGGAGGGCGATCAGCCGTCAGGGACGAGGGCGATCAGCCATCAGGGACGAGGGTGATCAGCCGTCAGGGATGAGGGCGATCAGCCGTCAGGGACGACGCCAATCAGCCGTCAGGGACGAGGGCGGTCAGCCGTCAGGGACGACGCCAATCAGCCGTCAGGGACGACGCCAATCAGACGTCAGGGACGACGCCAATCAGCCGTCAGGGACGAGGGCGGTCAGCCGTCAGGGACGACGCCAATCAGCCGTCAGGGGCGACGCCAATCAGCCGTCAGGGACGAGGGCGGTCAGCCGTCAGGGACGACGCCAATCAGCCGTCAGGGACGACGCCAATCAGTCGTCAGGGACGAGGGCGGTCAGCCGTCAGGGACGACGCCAATCAGCTGTCAGGAGCGAGGGCAGTCAGCCGTCAGGGGCGAGGGCGATCAGCCGTCCGGGACGAGGGCGATCAGCCCTCAGGGACGAGGGCGGTCAGCCGTCAGGGACGACGCCAATCAGCCGTCAGGGACGAGGGCGGTCAGCCGTCAGGGACGACGCCAATCAGCCGTCAGGGACGACGCCAATCAGCCGTCAGGGACGAGGGCGGTCAGCCGTCAGGGACGACGCCAATCAGCCGTCAGGGGCGAGGGCGGTCAGCCGTCAGGGACGACGCCAATCAGCCGTCAGGGGCGAGGGCGGTCAGCCGTCAGGGACGACGCCAATCAGCCGTCAGGGACGACGCCAATCAGTCGTCAGGGACGAGGGCGGTCAGCCGTCAGGGACGACGCCAATCAGCTGTCAGGAGCGAGGGCAGTCAGCCGTCAGGGGCGAGGGCGATCAGCCGTCCGGGACGAGGGCGATCAGCCCTCAGGGACGAGGGCGGTCAGCCGTCAGGGACGACGCCAATCAGCCGTCAGGGACGAGGGCGGTCAGCCGTCAGGGACGACGCCAATCAGCCGTCAGGGACGACGCCAATCAGCCGTCAGGGACGAGGGCGGTCAGCCGACAGGGACGACGCCAATCAGCCGTCAGGGGCGAGGGCGGTCAGCCGTCAGGGACGACGCCAATCAGCCGTCAGGGGCGAGGGCGATCAGCCGTCAGGGGCGAGGGCGGTCAGCCGTCAGGGACGACGCCAATCAGCCGTCAGGGACGAGGGCGGTCAGCCGTCAGGGACGAGGGCGGCTAGCAGGAAGGGCTTTCCCTCCTGCAGGGGTTTCTGCCTTAGACGCCCTGGCTGCCATCGCCAATATGTCTTTATTAAATAAACACTTTTGGAGTAATCTTACTGTCTATCTGCCTTGAATACTAGGTCCTCTGTTCTGAGCCTTCACAGACTAACAGTCTTTTATTTCGAGAAGCATTCTTTTTATTCCAAACACTCTAACAGAATAATAACCTCCTTTCAATTAGACACCTTGTAGCACTACAGTTTTGAGGCCTGAATGATTGAAACTCAGCCCTCATAAACCTGTATCTATATATGTACCTAAATATATGTAAAAGCCGATGAATCGGAGATGGATTTTTTCCCACCACATCTCCTTTACTGGAGTGTCAGGGTCAGTTTCCTGAAATGTTAAATGATGTTCATTTAGGTCTGCTAGAATCAAAGGGCAGTCATATTCAGGGAGAACAATTCCTCTATCCTTGTCCTCTCCATCATATTATGCAACTGTTTCCCAGACAAAATTGGGATCCTAAAAAACTCAATGTATGATAAAACACCAACTGCAACATGCACTGAAGAAGTGAAATACATGTAAGGCCTCCATGTAAGCCCTGAAAGGCAATTTAGGAAAAAATAAATAGATAATATCACTATCATGTTGTTTTTTTCTTCTATGAAACACAAGTGAAAAGGTTATTTTTAAAAACAAAATCTGCAGTTTTTGTTTTTGTAATACTTTATTGTGCCACTTGAAGGACTGCAGTGAAACCACAGATCCTCACTAATGGTTGTAGAAGCCAAGCTAAGCAACTGAAATGTAGACATTTCAGCTTCACTCTGCACACTCCTGCTACAGTATCAGCCATTCCAAATGGCCCCTCCCAGTCAAAAGCCAACTGAATGGCCGCAAAATCCCCTCAGACTTCCAACCTCTGGCCCCTCTCCTGGGCATGCATACTTTTTTACTCATACTCCACCCTTTCACTGAATTACAGAGTCTGACGCCTCTCTTTAGACCTTCATGTCCACAAATCATGACAGAAAGATATTTTAATACAAAGATTGATGTCCTAACCCATCAAGGAAAGTAGGGACTTTTTAAATGGCTACTACTGTTCATGCCCATACCTCTGACAATTGTAACACCTCAGTTGAGGTAGGACAAACTCCCTCACAGGATAGGTCATACAACCTACGTTCACCTTCTCTGAGACAAAACCTTAAACAGGCACATGAGAACATGTGAACTCCTGAACTGAGACCTGAGCTGACACCCTCTTCCTGGAAGGTAGTAGGGGCGACCACATAATGATGCAAGGGATGCATGTCTATGTTGATCTCATATGTTTTTCTGTAGTGGATGTTTTTTTCAAGGTGGAAAAAAATGAACAAAGATTTGGAAATAACTCCTGGTATTGACACTAAACACCAGCAGGTATGTTTCCCTGCAAGAAATCCAACTTCAAACTTAAAATAATCCCAGATTTATTATTTTTTTTCTCCAGTCATGTTACTATGATACAAATAAAGGCAAAGGAAAACCCACATGGACTTAACTAGAAATTAAAATGATTAACTATGAAGCAGGAAGTGATGTCAGAATGTGTTCTCTGCAGTGGTGCATCTGCTTCCTCTACAGGACAAACGGTTGGATGTCTCGAGGAAAGATATCCCAGGAGTCAAACCCAGGAAAGTGGTTCTTCCAGTCAGGCTGAAGAGGAGGATTATTTAAAGCCATCAAGCAGCCCAGCCAGTAGCATTCAGAGGCCAGAAGTCTGAGATCCTCCTTCACTTCCTCTGGAAACTGACCTCCATGTTCCAGGAAACCAGTCTGAGGAGGAATTATTTAATGTTAAACACTGATTGCTCCATTCAAGTTAAAAATGAAGCTACATCCTGTTTGGTTTCCAAAGATCATCAGCAAACAAACCTTAAAAAGATCTTCTTTGCTGGTGTGGAACAGCGCCATCTGCAGGCTCTGAACTGTTAGCTGTCTGTACTCTTTGACCTGGAACACATGAACCATGCTGCTCACACATCTCCTCCAGCTGTTTAATGAATCTGCTCTAGAGTCCGGTACCTTCTGAGGAGTCGGTCCACTGCTGGACCTGGTCTCCTGGAACACCTCCTCTATCTGCTGCTTCCTTCTCTTCATTTCTTCTGCTGCATCTCCAAAGGTTCTCTACAGAGGTCAGTATATTATCCGTCCCATGAGACACTCAGTGTTATAAAGTCAGGCAGGTGAACTTCCTGACAGCAGCTTTACTCCACCTGGATCAGATCTTTGGCCTCCTTTGGCCCGATCTTCCTGGACTTCAGCCGATCTTTGATGTTCGGCCACTGCAGCAGCCTCAGGTTGTCGTACATCTCAGTCAGTCTGGTTTTACTGACCGGGTTGTTCATGCTCTCAGTGTTTCCTGTTTTAAGGGAAATGGCCACCTGTGCTGCCAGTCTGTCAAACAGTTACAGTCTGATTATTTATGCTGCAGTTCAATAAATATACTTTACCAGCTCTCTGTTCAGTACCTGTCTTTAACTGATTTCAATTCTTTTTCTTTTTGTTCTGCAGCAGATCTGTGGAGGAAAAAAATAAAGCTTAGAGGAACATCACATACATTCTATTATGATCAAACACTAATCTAATATTAGCAAATCATTAGGTTAGGTATAGCTCGTAACTAGCTTGTAACAAAATGGCAACATAAACATATTTCTTACCGAGCCTTATAGAGCTGCTTTTTGTAAAACTTGTCCATCTCAGTCAAACTGTGTTAAAAAAAACAAAACACACAAGATATTAAAATAAATAGTTTTCTGATCACTGGTTATTCATGGTGTTTTTAGGATTAATGAAAATAAAAATAAAAAACACCTTTGTTTATGTTCACATCCTTCTGATTTACAATGCTGAGGGCTGGATCTCAAAGCTGGTGCTTCCTGCAGTCTTTAAATGGAGAAAAAATATTTATCATCATTTACATGAATGTGTGATCATCCAAAAACCACAAAACAAAAGAGACTGCGGTGATTGTGAGCAGAGCCTCAAAAACTTTAATCAATAAAATTCAGATAAAAAAAAAAGATAAAAAGTAAGTTAAAAGGAAAAAGATAAAAGAAGAAAGATAAGAATGCAGGCAATCAAGAGCAGCAGAGTCAATGGGTCAATCTGTTAAAAGATGCGCCCTTGGCAGGCACAATGGAGGGCATGGTCCACCCCAGCGCTGGATCCTCCTTCCAGCACGCTGCGCGTGTGGGCCACTCCAGCATAGCTGGCCTTAGCGAGGTCATCTCCAACACGCGCCTCTCGCCAGCGTGCCTCTGCGCCTCGCTCCCGGGGGCTCTGGCATTATGGTGGCTTAGGGACTTCCTGAGGGTCGTCTCTCCTCCTCCCTTGGTAGTGTGGATTTCCTTGGTTGGCCCCTCCTGGGCGCCTTTGCTCTTGGGGTCCCTCTGTTCTTGGGGTCCCTCTGGGTGTCTTGGGCTTTGGGTCCCCTGGCGCTCGCCTCAGTGCTCTGGAGGGGCACGTCTTCAGCTCTTTACAACCACTTTTGAGCATTTTTCCTTTGGATAAACTTTACATGCACAAGTGCAATCTCACAAATAACTACAGGTGCTTGGTTCCAGGTACTCAGAGATTCACTTCCATACAGAAAGCCCACATTCATATCTTCAGGTAACACAGAGTACATGTCTGACTAAATAATACTACTTATACTTCGGGCGATAGTATCAAGGTGTTGCTGTATTGTTTCTCTTATACTATATCCGTTGGTTGAGCTGTTCTTTTTACATCTCTCTGAAGGTGATGAAGCAAGATTTATAATAAAGCTATTAATATGTATAAATCGAGCGTAACTCTATGGCGATAGCCGTACTGCTCCACCTGTGAAAGTAAAATCTGTTGGGCTCTTTTTAGCATCAAGACAATTATTCTTATTGCCATATTGCCAGACAGGACACTGTTAAAAAAAAACAGTATATGGCTATAGATTATACATTGTATATAATATATTGTATGTTTTATATTGTATATACATATAGATTCCTTATTCTGTGTATATATATCAAAATTGTCTGCACAATCAACAGCAAGTAAAATTCCTTGTAAGTTCAAACCTACTTGGCAATAAATGTGATACTGAGGGACAAATCTTACTTCTTAGAAAATATTTTGTCCCACCTTGGGCATGAAAAATCCAAACTATACGCTCTCTTTTTACTATGTTAGATTCAACCCTGTAGTGGGATATTTTGATTCCTTTATACCTCTCCCTCTTAAATCCAGAATATAATTTAAAATCCTCCTTCTCACATATAAAGCCTTAAATGGCCAAGCTCCATCTGATATCAGAGATCTGATTGTTCCTTATGTTCCTAACAGAGTTAATCCTAACTACAGTTACCATAACGATATACAGAGCATTATTCAGATATCTTCCAGCAGCTCTAATTGTTCTCCACGGCAAAACAAACAAAAAAAAAGAATGGAATCTGTTCATTTTCATAAACAAAGTGACGCGTGTATGATGTCATCCGCGTGCGCCGGCTACCATTCATTCATCCTGTCGGCTGAACTGCTGCTAGTTTTCCTCACATGCCTGGAAGATGTCTAGTGCTGCTACCACAGATGATCTCGCTCTCCAGATGAACGATTCAGATTAGCTAGAATCAATAGAAGGGGTAGAGCGTAGCCGCCTGTGGCCCGGGCTGCCCGTCACAACTCCAGTCCGGTGCGTGGATGATGTCATTCACACTCCGCTTTATTTTAAAAAAATATGAATATAAAAAATCTAACGGTGGATGTCTGGGGGACAGTGATTGGCCTCCATGTTCTGAATGCTGGCGTACCATAAAGAATAAATGATGAACAGTTTAGTTTGTGCCTTCAAGTCGTTGCTCATAGGAAGACGTTACTGGATATAACCTAACGGAATATCTTCAGAACGGCTCCAAATGACACTAAACTCATATGGGAGAGTAGAACATGATGGAATAACGGAAAATCAAGGGACCGATGTAAAAAAAAAAAAAAAAAAAAAAAAAAAATCTGTTTTTGCTGTCACTGAGAACATTAATTCTCTCCAACATATTTATTTACTTTTAAAGTTATTTTCCTCTTACATATTGCTTTACTTCCTGGTATTAAAAATTAATAATAATAATTCAATAATGAACCATTTATTTTTGAAGTACAATACTAATATTGTTAAACGTTTTTGTTACATTAGTAATTCATGCAGTTCAGATGTATTTATAATGTACTTTGTTGGGAACTCTAGTGCACTATGATTTATTGAAATGACATGGTTCTAGTATTTTCAGGTATTTTTGAATGACAAGCTAAACTTTGAAATAATACTGAATCTCAGGCACAAAGCCTGGAGGCCTTGAACCAGGCAGGTAGGCTTTACCTGGACATTTCCACCTGTGTCAGGCTTACACAAGGCTCTTGCATCTATTTTCAAAATTTTACTGTCAAAAATCTCACTAGTAAATGGCCCAATCTGCTCCTTTGATTTCTGCTCCCTTCTTTCCACCTTTGCAATGGAAACTGACTCATTTTTTTTTCTATGGAGTAAAAATTATTCCCTTAAGTCATATAAACTTTTTGGAGTGTTTAAATCTCTGAGTTTGATTACATTTATTTAAGTACTGATAACATCTTTTCACATCATAAAATTTTGAAACAAGGGAAACATAAGAAGCATATTTAATATTTATATGAACTCAAAAGAGAGTTGATGCTGTGCTGTAAACATAACCAATTTTTCCACAGTCCATGACAAAGCAATTGACTTTAGTCACTGTCTCATGTATTAGAAACTAGAGAGAAATACGTAATCTTCTGGATGTAATGTTTCTGGGTTGCTTTCATCTCAGTCAGAAAGATATAAGATACAACAAATAGCAACTCTTCACAACAGAAATGCTGCAGGAGCTGTAGTGAATTAATGCTGCACCAATGAATAGAATATAGTGGATAAATGTTTCACAATAAATAAATTTATGTTATAAAGGCCAAAGAGCCCAAAGTGTGTGCTCCAACATGGATAAAAATAGAGCAATGTGTGCAAGGCCATCTGCTGGCACTGCGCTTTGAAGTTTGAAGATAAGATCAGGAGAGGAAAAGACAGGTAGTGGAAGAGGGACAGAGGTATTGGACTGGATCCAAAGCTTTAATGCTGTAAGGTTGCAAAGATGAGGCCTTTTGATGAAGAAGTCATACACATTAAGAATGTATTATTTTGACATATCAAGGTTGCACCGCGAAGCTGAACTATAGTATGATATATTGTGTTGTCATATCAAAGTAATACAACAAAGTCATACCACGCTGTGTTTTAATGAAATTTTGAGCATTAAAAGTTATGCTTAATGATTTAATGAAATGTTATGAAACATAAGTCACACTGGATAAAACGTTGTTTTGACATATTGATGATCAAGGTTATAATGAGTTTTTGATTTAACTGCAATATATGTCACCATGACCTGTAAAGAAAAGGCTTTGATAGATCAGAGAAAGGCTTTAATTAAAATATATTAAAAAAATGGTTTGGAGGTGGGTTTTCCACCGGTAAGATAAAAGAAATTGGAAATACCTGTGGAAAATAGTACCTAAGATTATGCAAAATAGGAGGAGCTTGGGGGAGGAGCCCCAAGCCCCAGGAGTGAATATAAGCGGGACTGTCTCTGTATGTTACTTCAGATGTTTACCGGTATGCATCTCGGGTGGTTGACCTGTGTTTTGCAATAAACCACTCTGGACCTGGACCCAGCTGCCTCTGCCTGTTTTTTGATCATTGATTGAAGACTTTTCAACTGCTTTTTGAGAACTTTGAATTTTTACAAGACTTAGCATAAAATTTTAAGTCGTTGGGAGGACATTCCACGACAGAACATTATACCATGTTGTGCCTTTCTAAGGTTTTCTAGCAACATATCAACAATTACATCAGTTTAGAAAATAAGAATTCAAAAAGTTTAAACTATCTTGTTTTCTTTTAGCCTGTTAGCATTACCTTTGATTGGCTGATTTTACTTCTCCTTGTTTTTCTTCTAAAGCAGACCTGTAGTGGAGAAAATAAACCATTTCTACATTTTCTGAGAAACACTAGAATTAATTGCCATCCTCATTGAAATCCATAAAAAGCTTTAGGAAGTGGAATTGATGTTTGAAGTTATAAGTCATTAATGTGAATGCAGACTCTGAGCAACACTAACCTGATTTTCTGGATCTCACTTTCATTAGAAGCTTTTGTCTCAGTCAGTCTGAGTTTAAGATAAAACAGATCATGTTCTTCACAGCACAGAATCACCAGTAACAGTATGTTATCTTCTTGTGTCAACAATACCTTTTATTAACTGATTCTAGTTCATCTTCTTTCTGTTTGAGCTCAGACCTGAAGAATAAATGTTTGAAAATCCTCAAGTGCATGTGTACTGCAACCCAGCTCATACAGAAACTGGGCAACAAAACTTTCTATATTAAAACTAAATATTGACCACAACTTCTTCTGTCTGACAAAAGTCCAACTTAAAGGTATTAAAGAGGATTTTAATCAGACATTGAGTTTCAAGATTCTTCTAAAATGAATTAATTGATGGATGACATTCTTGCATTTATGGTATCCCCCCCCCCCAAAGAAATTAATCCATAATCTCTGGCCGTGGTGGGGCCTACAATACATTAGCAAATCCACTTTGCTTACTGTCGAAAGTGGATTGGCTACTTCTTTGTCAATCAAACATTTTGCGTACGTGCCGCCATGATGTTATTTACGTAGGCTCCAAGCGTAACTCATACGCTGTTTAGCTAGCGGTTATCCATTACGCGGAAGCATGAAGAAGTACTCCTATGCTCGTTTGTTGCCTTTTTTGAGCTATTTGTTTAATCTTTTGTTTAAACTGGAGCATCAATGAGAAAAAATAATTATTACAAACCTAAACGGTAAAGAAAGCCTTTTGTCGAGGCTAAGGTAATTAGCAAGACGGTTAGCATTAGCTATGGGTATCGAACATCTCTGAAGGTAAAAAACTAATTTATGTGATGATTTTCTCATCATGGAATATTTTTATTATAAATATGCTGGATTACCTTTAATGCATAGACCCTTACGGACAAATAGAATATAAACAATATAAAGATTGGATTTATAATACGGCCTCAGGATCGCTTCAAAGGTAGGAAGTCTGGGCTTTATTCTAGAAATTCTGTTTTAACAAGCTACTATATCTTCATCAATTGTGCTTTGGTGCTCATGGTGTCCATAAAATGAACTTGGTGGTTGAATTGTGGAAAATCGAAGCTTTCTAATGATGTATAACATGTCTATATTGGTAAATGTTTAACCAGTGTTATTTTCTAGCTTACGGCTGTAAATAAACCAATGGGAGCGTGGTTGTTACGGCAGACAGGTATTTCTCAGCTTTTATCTGTCTACCAAAACTCTCAATTTTAGGGCATCCATGCATAAGAAATATGAAGACATTGAGAATATGTTTAAAATTTCCCTTTTCATTTATATTTAAATTCATTTCCTCATCAGTTTGCGAGAAGGGAGGTAACTCTCGACAGGCAGGTATTTCTTGGCATTTCAAAGAGTTTCCAGTATAAAGAACTTTCCCAAAGGACGGGCCACTGACGCATGCGCACAGTTCCAAAATACACAAATAGCCGTTGGACATATCTTCCACCACAGTATCCTCTTTCATGCATTTAATGATCTTCTGTGAAGTTAAACCCGGATCCCTGGATGCCAGAATTATAGAGGTACTCCAAGCCCTCCTCCACATTTCAGTAAATATCAATGTGATTGAATCATTTCAAAGTCAACTCTGAGAAACACTTACTTCACTTGATGGAGCTCTTTTTCAAGAGAAGTCTTTGTTTCTATCATTCTGTGGTGAAGACATCAGAATAAAAGCCTTTAATACGACACATTTGGAGTCAAATCTCAGAAGTGATGAGTGAACTGAGACTCTGTAGTGTTACAATAACTGGTAAAGATAATGATCATTTGTTGTATCTGACCACAGTCTGTGGTCAGATACAACAAATAGCAACTCCTCACAACAGAAATGCTGCAGGAACATTATGCCATGTTGTGCCTTTCTAAGGTTTTCTAGCAACATATCAACAATTACATCAGTTTAGAAAATAAGAATTCAAAAAGTTTAAACTATCTTGTTTTCTTTTAGCCTGTTAGCATTACCTTTGATTGGCTGATTTTACTTCTCCTTGTTTTTCTTCTAAAGCAGACCTGTAGTGGAGAAAATAAACCATTTCTACATTTTCTGAGAAACACTAGAATTAATTGCCATCCTCATTGAAATCCATAAAAAGCTTTAGGAAGTGGAATTGATGTTTGAAGTTATAAGTCATTAATGTGAATGCAGACTCTGAGCAACACTAACCTGATTTTCTGGATCTCACTTTCATTAGAAGCTTTTGTCTCAGTCAGTCTGAGTTTAAGATAAAACAGATCATGTTCTTCACAGCACAGAATCACCAGTAACAGTATGTTATCTTCTTGTGTGAACAATACCTTTTATTAACTGATTCTAGTTCATCTTCTTTCTGTTTGAGCTCAGACCTGAAGAATAAATGTTTGAAAATCCTCAAGTGCATGTGTACTGCAACCCAGCTCATACAGAAACTGGGCAACAAAACTTTCTATATTAAAACTAAATATTGACCACAACTTCTTCTGTCTGACAAAAGTCCAACTTAAAGGTATTAAAGAGGATTTTAATCAGACATTGAGTTTCAAGATTCTTCTAAAATGAATTAATTGATGGATGACATTCTTGCATTTATGGTATCCCCCCCCCCCCCAAAGAAATTAATCCATAATCTCTGGCCGTGGTGGGGCCTACAATACATTAGCAAATCCACTTTGCTTACTGTCGAAAGTGGATTGGCTACTTCTTTGTCAATCAAACATTTTGCGTACGTGCCGCCATGATGTTATTTACGTAGGCTCCAAGCGTAACTCATACGCTGTTTAGCTAGCGGTCCTCCATTACGCGGAAGCATGAAGAAGTACTCCTACGCTCGTTTGTTGCCTTTTTTGAGCTATTTGTTTAATCTTTTGTTTAAACTGGAGCATCAATGAGAAAAAATAATTATTACAAACCTAAACGGTAAAGAAAGCCTTTTGTCGAGGCTAAGGTAATTAGCAAGACGGTTAGCATTAGCTATGGGTATCGAACATCTCTGGAGGTAAAAAACTAATTTATGTGATGATTTTCTCATCATGGAATATTTTTATTATAAATATGCTGGATTACCTTTAATGCATAGACCCTTATGGACAAATAGAATATAAACAATATAAAGATTGGATTTATAATACGGCCTCAGGATCGCTTCAAAGGTAGGAAGTCTGAGCTTTATTCTAGAAATTCTGTTTTAACAAGCTACTATATCTTCATCAATTGTGCTTTGGTGCTCATGGTGTCCATAAAATGAACTTGGTGGTTGAATTGTGGAAAATTGAAGCTTTCTAAGGATGTATAACATGTCTATATTGGTAAATGTTTAACCAGGGTTATTTTCTAGCATACGGCTGTAAATAAACCAATGGGAGCGTGGTTGTTACGGCAGACAGGTATTTCTCAGCTTTTATCTGTCTACCAAAACTCTCAATTTTAGGGCATCCATGCATAAGAAATATGAAGACTTTGAGAATATGTTTAAAATTTCCCTTTTCATTTATATTTAAATCCATTTCCTCATCAGTTTGCGAGAAGGGAGGTAACTCTCGACAGGCAGGTATTTCTCTGCATTTCAAAGAGTTTCCAGTATAAAGAACTTTCCCAAAGGACGGGCCACTGACGCATGCGCACAGTTCCAAAATACACAAATAGCCGTTGGACATATCTTCCACCACAGTATCCTCTTTCATGCATTTAATGATCTTCTGTGAAGTTAAACCCGGATCCCTGGATGCCAGAATTATAGAGGTACTCCAAGCCCTCCTCCACATTTCAGTAAATATCAATGTGATTGAATCATTTAAAAGTCAACTCTGAGAAACACTTACTTCACTTGATGGAGCTCTTTTTCAAGAGAAGTCTTTGTTTCTATCATTCTGTGGTGAAGACATCAGAATAAAAGCCTTTAATACGACACATTTGGAGTCAAATCTCAGAAGTGATGAGTGAACTGAGACTCTGTAGTGCAGAGATGGCAAAAGTACTCACTTTCCGTACTTGAGTAAAAGTACAGATACTTGTGTTAAAAAATACTCTGGTAAAAGTGGAAGTACTGATTAAAGGAATAGTACACCCAAAACATGATTAGCCTTCATTTTCTACTCACCCCCATGCTGAACAAAACTCTGGAGTACTTTTTTGATATCTCAAATGCATCTGGAGATCTGGGAGGCTTCTTGCTGTCTGCTGACATTCAAATAATGGAGGTCTATGGTGCCCGAGACAGAAAGGTCCACAAAAGTCCACAAAAACGTGTCAATATTCCTCCATACTGCTCGTCCAATGTAATCCAAGTGTCCTGAGTGGGTAGCATCCAGAATTTACTCGAAACGAAGTCATTTAGAACGTTTTTAGAGCATAAACAGTAGTGTATAGGATTTCCTAATAGCGCCCCCATGCGCGCTCACGATTCTACGGAAGCCGGCAGACCAAACCGGAAGTCAGCGTCTGCTCTGCCAGTAATGCAAGCGTAGAAGAAGAAATGTGCTGTTTACCTGTGCAAAGAAAGAAACAACGAAAGAAAAATGTCTGAGGACTTCAGTGTTGAGGAAGAGCATGAGTTCTTTGCCGAGCTGAATGCGCTGACGCTGACTTCCGGTTTGGTCTGCCGGCTTCCGTAGAATCGTGAGCGCGCATGGGGGCGCTATTAGGAAATCCTATACACTACTGTTTAGGCTCTAAAAACATTCTAAATGACTTCGTTTCGAGTAAATTCTGGATGCTACCCACTCAGGACACTTGGATTACATTGGACGAGCAGTATGGAGGAATATTGACACGTTTTTGTGGACTTTTATGGACCTTTCTGTCTCGGGCGCCATAGACCTCCATTATTTGAATGTCAGCAGACAGCAAGAAGCCTCCCAGATCTCCAGATGCATTTGAGATATCAAAAAAGTACTCCAGAGTTTTGTTCAGCATGGGGGTGAGTAGAAAATGAAGGCTAATCATGTTTTGGGTGTACTATTCCTTTAAGCTTCTTTACTCAAGTAAAAGTAACAAAGTACAGGCTTGTAAATTTACTTAAAGTATAAAAGTAAAAGTAGAAACCACTTTTTTCATGCCGTTGCCTACATTTTAAATGGATGTCTGCCAATAGGACTAGATCTCCGTTGTGTTCATTTTCAATCATCTCGTCGTCCATGCTACTATGCTAACACCACCGCCACCAAGCTGCAATGATTTGCCTCGAATGAATACCGCCGAATCTGTCGATTCATCTTGTAGTGGTGCGTCAAATGCAACGTAGAATCCCATCCAATTAGATTAAATTTGGTATTGATGACGTGAAAAATAATAACAGTAACTCCATTGAAATGACTGAAAACTAAAGTAACGAGCCAATTTTTTTAAATGTAAGGAGTAGAAAGTACAGATATTTGTGTAAAAATGTAAGGAGTAGAAGTAAAAAGTCGCCATAAAAATAAGTAGTAAAGTAAAGTAAAAATATCAGAAAAATCTACTTGAGTACAGTAACAAAGTATTTGTACTTCATTACTTCCCATCTCTGCTGTAGTATTACAATAACTGGTAAAGATAATGATCATTTGTTGTCTCTGACCACAGTCTGTGGTCAGATACAACAAATAGCAACTCCTCACAACAGAAATGCTGCAGGAACATTATGCCATGTTGTGCCTTTCTAAGGTTTTCTAGCAACATATCAACAATTACATCAGTTTAGAAAATAAGAATTCAAAAAGTTTAAACTATCTTGTTTTCTTTTAGCCTGTTAGCATTACCTTTGATTGGCTGATTTTACTTCTCCTTGTTTTTCTTCTAAAGCAGACCTGTAGTGGAGAAAATAAACCATTTCTACATTTTCTGAGAAACACTAGAATTAATTGCCATCCTCATTGAAATCCATAAAAAGCTTTAGGAAGTGGAATTGATGTTTGAAGTTATAAGTCATTAATGTGAATGCAGACTCTGAGCAACACTAACCTGATTTTCTGGATCTCACTTTCATTAGAAGCTTTTGTCTCAGTCAGTCTGAGTTTAAGATAAAACAGATCATGTTCTTCACAGCACAGAATCACCAGTAACAGTATGTTATCTTCTTGTGTCAACAATACCTTTTATTAACTGATTCTAGTTCATCTTCTTTCTGTTTGAGCTCAGACCTGAAGAATAAATGTTTGAAAATCCTCAAGTGCATGTGTACTGCAACCCAGCTCATACAGAAACTGGGCAACAAAACTTTCTATATTAAAACTAAATATTGACCACAACTTCTTCTGTCTGACAAAAGTCCAACTTAAAGGTATTAAAGAAGATTTTAATCAGACATTGAGTTTCAAGATTCTTCTAAAATGAATTAATTGATGGATGACATTCTTGCATTTATGGTATCCCCCCCCCAAAGAAATTAATCCATAATCTCTGGCCGTGGTGGGGCCTACAATACATTAGCAAATCCACTTTGCTTACTGTCGAAAGTGGATTGGCTACTTCTTTGTCAATCAAACATTTTGCGTACGTGCCGCCATGATGTTATTTACGTAGGCTCCAAGCGTAACTCATACGCTGTTTAGCTAGCGGTTATCCATTACGCGGAAGCACGAAGAAGTACTCCTACGCTCGTTTGTTGCCTTTTTTGAGCTATTTGTTTAATCTTTTGTTTAAACTGGAGCATCAATGAGAAAAAATAATTATTACAAACCTAAACGGTAAAGAAAGCCTTTTGTCGAGGCTAAGGTAATTAGCAAGACGGTTAGCATTAGCTATGGGTATCGAACATCTCTGGAGGTAAAAAACTAATTTATGTGATGATTTTCTCATCATGGAATATTTTTATTATAAATATGCTGGATTACCTTTAATGCATAGACCCTTATGGACAAATAGAATATAAACAATATAAAGATTGGATTTATAATACGGCCTCAGGATCACTTCAAAGGTAGGAAGTCTGAGCTTTATTCTAGAAATTCTGTTTTAACAAGCTACTATATCTTCATCAATTGTACTTTGGTGCTCATGGTGTCCATAAAATGAACTTGGTGGTTGCATTGTGGAAAATCGAAGCTTTCTAAGGATGTATAACATGTCTATATTGGTAAATGTTTAACCAGTGTTATTTTCTAGCTTACGGCTGTAAATAAACCAATGGGAGCGTGGTTGTTACGGCAGACAGGTATTTCTCAGCTTTTATCTGTCTACCAAAACTCTCAATTTTAGGGCATTCATGCATAAGAAATATGAAGACATTGAGAATATGTTTAAAATTTCCCTTTTCATTTATATTTAAATCCATTTCTTCATCAGTTTGCGAGAAGGGAGGTAACTCTCGACAGGCAGGTATTTCTCTGCATTTCAAAGAGTTTCCAGTATAAAGAACTTTCCCAAAGGACGGGCCACTGACGCT